TTCCTGTTATAGTTTTAAAATACCTAATATCTAGTCAAGATACTTTTAAATTTCACTTAAAAAACATACTACAAGAGCTTTTGTTGAGTTTCTACAGTTACACAGTTGTTCTGATCTGGATGTTTTAAGAAAATAGCCAGTGGCATTGCAGAGTAGTTCAAAGCAGTACTACAGAGTTATGCCTTCATTGTCTTTAGGAAATGACTGGTATGTTCAGGGAACAGGTGGCAAAGAATAATTACCTTTTGATTTCCCCCATCCCAATAATACATGGATATAACTGCTCTGTACATTTAATTATCCCTTTTGTTTTTGAACAGAATGGAGGGTTTAAAGTGGTCCTAATATATATTTTGAAAAACCTAAACTTGTTTGAAATAGAGGCTCAAACAACCCCAAAACCCTGTCAGAAAGCTCTTGTTTGCCCTTGGGAAGCTGAGAACATTAAGAATACAATGAAGCTTAGATCACTCCTTGTTCATGCTGCCCTTTTACATAGCATGGCCATTGTATTAGAAATTGCTGCACATCTGATTAATGACCTGCACCCAGTATTCCTCATTTGGATATGGTGCTGTGTACTGCCCACTGCCATGTGCCACCCCACTCTACAATGTAGATAGGAAATGCCTTCTGCAGCAGATATGTGTGGACTTGTGTTTTTCACCCTGGGCCATCCTCACAATGTTTGTTTTCATACAAATCTTCCCCAAGGATGCATGGCTTTGGCCCCTTATACCTGGAACTCTTGGAGATAGGTGAAATAGGAAATTTCATCCATGGTTTCCCCACCCTTTCAGACCCTGCTACAGGTTGAGTAGGAAGACCGTTGGAGTCAAGTAGGGAATGGATCTTCTATGATTATTATATTTACCCACACTAGTCTTACCAAGAAAACCTTGTGATAGGGTTGCCTTGTTACTGTGTTCCTTCAAGTCATTTCAGACTTATGGTGTCCCTAAGGTGAACCTATTATGGGTTTTCTGGGGCTGAGAGAGGGTGACTTGCCCAAGGTTATCCAATGGATTTCCATGGTCGACTGGAGAACCAAACCCTGAACTCCAGAGTCATAGTCCAAAATTCAAACCACTATGCCATGCTGGCTCTAGTGTTGCCTTAGGATTGCCATAAGTTAAAAAAGAAGGATCCCTGCAAGCAATTACTTATTAAAAGCCTGCAGTATATTAAATAAGAGTCAGAGAAGAATCAGAGAA